TTCCAACCTAAATGATTCTATGATTCTGTGATTCTATGATTGTGCTGGCAGGCAGGATAAGTCTGGGCAATAAGTAGCCTGCTTGAGGGCTTAGCACATAGGCTAAAATGAGTTGGTGACAATGCAGGTTTAAAAAAAAATAAAAAGCAGGAAATGGACTCCCTGCTCCCTCTCTGTCAAGCAGCAGTGCAGAAGAAGCTGCCAGTGCTGTGGGTGTCTGTGGCTGCCCTTATGCACCATGTCAGCTCACCTGAGCTTCAGAGAAGTCTGGGTCACTCATATGGGGTTTTAGCATATTGCCAAACTTCAGGGCCTCTGCAATGCGATGGTAGGTTTCCACCTTCTCCTTGGGTGTCGCCAGTGATGCTTCGTGGAGTTTATACTCTACGGAGCAAGATGAAATAATTTTGTTAATAGACCCAAGGCAATGTTTTTTTCAAGAATTGTGAAAAAAAAAGTTGAAAGGAACCTCCTTTTCCCATCCCAGTTCTTATCAAGTTTCCCCTATGCTTTAGCAGCATGTAAGCACAGAAACAACCAAGTACTAATTTCTGCTGAGACTCCAATTTCTCCTGAGGCCTTGGGAAAATCATGTATCCTTTGGCCTTTGCAGCAGCTATGGTGATGCTGACCCACTGTAAGAATAAGCCAGTTTATCATCCTGCTGCATAGCATGGTCACACTGCTGCTTTGGGGCCCATTCTGGCTTGTCAGTTCCATTTCTCCCTGCTACTTTTCTACTGCTCTAGAGCAACATTCTTTGCAAACCTCTTGCTGCCCCTTTTCCCTTAGGAATTTACCTTCCAATATCTTGAGGATGAACATGAGCACAGCACCTCCCATGGGCGGTCCAGGAGAAAACAGCATGGTGTGATTGTTCAGGGTAATGTTCAAAGCTGAGGACACGTCTGCTTTGTATGCCTGAAGGTCCTCCAGTGAGATACTGGACCCTTCAACAGAAAACCAGAGAGGTAGCTGGCATTAGCGCATTAACTTCTAATAGGTGCTATGGGCTGGCTATGTCAGAGCCTTGGTAAAGCTTGTAAAGAGCCATCCCTGTATACTCCAAATTTCTTTCAACAAGCGCAGCAATGTCTTCATGTGTCCTCATCTACTGCCAAACCCCAGGACATCACAAAGCCTAAGGCAGTTGGAGAGGCCAGTGCATGAGCACTATGGGTGAAAGCCAGAGCTGTAGGTGGCTCTCAGCCCTGCTTTTGGGCCTGAGTTATAAGAACTGGGGAAAGGTGGCCCCTTCCCATGCCAGGTACCACCCCAAGTGGCAAGCAAATGGCATGTGTTGGCTTTCCCCTGGTACCAACTCACTGTTAGCCAACTGCTGGGAAAAGGCATGTCTATTAGGATGAAATATAGCTGTTACCTACCAGCCTTCCTAATGTCCTCCACCAGGGCCTTTCCTATCTGCCCCTCATAAAATGCTGTAGCTCCATTTTCTGCTACAGCTCTCAGTGTTTGCTGCAGTGCTGGCCACCTGAAGGTCTCTCCACGCTTCAAAAACCTTTGACCGTCACATATCAGTGGGCTGTTAAAGAAGAACATCCATCAGTTTACAGCATGTGCTTATTCTGTCCCCAAGGCCAATCTCTTTTTCGTTCCCAAAGCTGATTTGTTTTATACATGGTGTATACTTTCCAAGCTGGTGCTACACTGCAGTCTACATGGAGAAAAGTTCTTCTCAGCCAATTGCTACCCATAGCACTAGGCAGTCTTTCCCCAGTTTCATCCATGGGCCCTAC